TAAGAGCCAGTGAAGTGCCGCTGAGGGCGACCGGCAGCTGTCGGTGAGGGGAGGCGTACATTCAGTGGAAGTGCTGCATGCGCGTCGCATCGATGTTTGTCCTTTTTGCGCGGACACCGCATACAATAAAAAAGGCATAATTTAAGATAAATGATGCCCCAGCTGTGCTGCATTGTCATTTTTACTCGTCAAATACGTCTATTTTGAAACACAGAAGCGCCAATAACACTTGTACGAGAACGGTTGGTATGACTAACCTTTGGTGGAAATCATGGTGGTAGAACAGAAGGGTGAAAGTCAAATTCACTGAAGCTCGTCTCGACGCTTGCCGAAATTGAAAGTTTATGCATACTCGCATGCACTTTGTTAACTTAAATGTATGGCTCAAGCAATAGAATGTGCAAGAATTACCAGAGTTGCGTTTCTAGCTTGGCGACATCAAGTGACCGCTGTGTTCTGCTATAACATTGAAAGGGGCAATTGCGAACTAGAGCTCATTTGTTAGTCGCGCCGATGTAAAACATTTATTATGACTGTTCACAGTGACACCTCTAGTATTCTAAACATCGCAACAAAGAAACACATTGCGGATGTCAAACTGATGTAAGTGCGCGTGCGAAATTAAAGCATATTCGTGGCCTCGTATTGTACGCGCCACAAAAATTGAAGGGTTATTGACCCCACAGGAATGAAAAAAATAAACGTGCTAGAAATCGTAATGAGCAGCGTTGGTTTCTTTTGAACATAAACATATATCTCTGCGCATTCAAGAGTGAAACACAACAAATAAGTGATTTCACATACTATCATGTGCTTTTTCATCATACCACCATCATGCACTACGCTTTCATCATGCCACCGTCATCCACCTTGCTCACCATGCCCTCCAATAAACACGTTTTGCCGTGCCACCATAAGCCGGCATTTTTCCCCGTTACCACCACTGGCTCGCCACCACCACCACCATCTGCCATAAGTTTTTTCCATTCTCGCCATCAACAGCCATTATGCCCTCTACAGTTTCTGCCATATCCACTAATATTTTAACCGTATCCACTATTGTTTTCCACCATATCCACTAATGATTCCACCATCCACCCACTCAGGATTTTCAATAGGGATTTCAAGGTACACCCCACTCATCGTTCACTATGTGGTAACTCTCTAGTACATTTTCTGTGATTAATTTGTTTTCTACCACCACAACATCCGTCATGTTACGGGCTTGTCGGTGTCTCTTGCAGATGCCCTGAGTGCGTTCATCGGAGACACCGTGCACGTCCCACAGAGACGCTGGACACGCCCCAGCGACGGTAGTGCTCCCTCCTCCTCGAGTGTCTCGGTGCCTTGCCGCTGCCTGGTTGCTCCCTGCCCGGCGTTGGCTCTCGCGACACGCTAAACATAGACCATTGGGGCCTCTCTCGTAACAGTGAATATGCTGGGATTTTTTTTTTGTAAGCAGGCACTTCACGCTTATCGCCTTCATTTTCCACATTGGTTGTTCGCTTCCCCTCGTCCTCGCGACCGGTGTGGACCGTCCACTTCTTGACGTAACAAACGGAACGGGTCCGCCCGGATTAGGAACGCGTATAAAATTGCACCACTGTTTAATAACTAACTTTTGAAGAAACGAAGATGGATAAAAAATTTTTTTGAGATGTTGTCGATCGGTTTGCAAAACGTTCAAACAGATAGTTTGGAACTTTATATCTTTTAAGTATCAGTGTATGTCTGCTAATTACAAATGCCCGTAAAATACGAAAAAAAAAAACCAAGTGACAAACCCACTCGTGCGTCAGTGCGCACGATAATTTTAGTGTTCCCTAATGTTACGCGTACAAACGACACGCTTCCCTCGCACCGGTTCATACAGCGATAAGCAGTCACAGCGGTTATTGTTGTTTTTTTTTTGCTGATGGCAAAACGTGTTCATCGTAAAGCCTTCACCATCGTTGCGGCCCTGCCGATACAGCACAATAGGCAAATGCTAAGGTCGTTCGTACGCGGAACGCTTGGGAGCACTAGTATTATTGTGCCCACTGGCGCACGAGCACGTCTGTCACGCGGTGTTTTTTGTATTTCGCGGGCATTTCTAATTAGCAGAAAAACACAAATAGCTAAGAGATACAAAGTTCAAAACTGTCTAATCAGACGTTTTCCAAACTGATGTACAACTTTCTTGGCGAAATTTTTTATCTATCTTCGTTTCTTAAAAAGTTAGTTAATAAACATATTTAATTAAACAATATTTGAGAACGTAAAAAATAGTCTAACTCTTGGCAACGGTGAGCAAAATGCATTTGGTCACGTCGAAATCACATGTTCCGGATTTTTTTTTAAAACTCTGGCTAAAGTTACTTGGGATACCTTGTCTCCGTGTTGCACAACCAAAGTGGTTTGGGCTGAGCCAGAGGAAAACGACCATTCAAGCGATAAGTTCAGTGGCGAAGCTAGAAGGAGGTTAGAAAGGTTGAACCTCTCACCGCACCGATATTATTACATTTCCACAGGTGAAAATATGCGCGCATACACAAAGAGATGCAAGACCACAAATAAGGTGAAGACAGAACACCAAAAGGAAGCTTTTGTCTACAATTCTGGACACGTATACGTTCATGATCAAAGTCGTGCTTAGGTGGAAACAGGCTTACATATACTTATTTATCTTATTAATTTTCATTGACTTGAATATGATCAAGGAGCCATGGGCTCTTGCTTATATGAGCCACAGGTCCTTGGAGCACCAGGCTCTCAGAAAAATGTGTTCCGTTTGTCGAAAGAAACGAGCAATATTTAACTAGTAAAATGAGTCACTCACCTCCCAGATGGTACCAGGGGAGCAAAAAGTGAGCAAGGGAGTGTTTGAAAAGTGTTGTGGCATGCCTCCACTGGTTTTGAACATGTAGGGGCGACCTTTCCAAGGAACGCGGGCTGCTATACTGCTCCACTTGGGTCATCAGGAAGTTGCACCCGGGGCACTTGTACTTCATTTGCTATCTCTAGTAATGCCACTGTGTACCCGCATCTAAATATAAGTACTCTAGCATTTTGGCCTACTTCAAAATGGTAGAACCGCGGTCACGATCAAACGAGTTTCCTACTGATCGGCAGCCGGTCACAGTAACTACTGACAGAAATTCTGTAAAAGAAGAAATAAAAAAAGAGAGGTAAAAACTTATTACTTGGGAATCGCACCCACGCCGCGCCGAATCGACAACGTGCGAGCCACCAGCTCAGTCGCTCGATCAGCACACCCATAACGCCACTCGCGTATTATAAGATTCGTCTTATTAAGATAAGTAGCGTCACCAGTTCAAGTCCAAGACTTGAACTGGTGACGCTACTGTGTTGTAGAAAACAGTTTTTTTTTGTGACGTACTTTTGTGACGCGTAAACATTATTGCAGGCTCAAATCGAAGCTTACTTTTCGTGCTACTCTGATCTCAGAGCAATTTGCAGGTTTCCGTCTAGTTTTTTATACGGCCTTTTTTATCCCAAAACACAAGTCGTGATTTCAGTGGCTTGCTTAGGGTACACTGTGAAAACTTTATTGATCGTGGGAACCGAATCGGAAGCGTTGACTTTAACAATGCTGCATTTGCGAAGTGCAGTACAGCTCCTAGAACTTGTCCCTTTAAGAACTTTTAAAATTTCCGCCTCATCATTTAACTACTCTACCCTATCCATCTGTATGAAATATCTTGCAACAAGAGAACAGAACAAGAGAAGAATATAATGCTTTATAAAAAATTTCCCCCAATTGTTAGCGTACTAGGAATATTCTGTAAAAAGTCAAAGCTGGTGATTAGTATTGCAACGCTTTTTATGCACAATTTATTTAGAAGTTCTGGAATTTTGCTTCACAGAGAATTCAGCCAGAGCCTTGCCTGAGGACCTCCAAGGTGTTCTTACAAAGGTGGAAACATAGCAGCCTTGGTACGGGCGCATTCGTCGGGCAAATAAAGTTTTATTCTGAACTAAACTTGAGGGCTTAACACTAAAATTGAAAGAGTTAAGGTTGCTTCACAAAACGGAAATCAAACTAACTAACCTCTTATGAAGTTAAAGATGTGCAGAGTTTTAAAAGTACTAACTAAACTGCTCCTGGCACTGATATAATGACGACGAATGGTATTCATACAGCAAAAGGCCTTTCGCTGTGAGAAGAAGGACGTGCTAGTCTGGCACGCATTTCGTACAGACCAAGCTTTAAAAATGTGATCAGCTGCCACACTTTGCTAGCCGTGGCACGTACAAAACGTGCAGAACGAACCCAAAGAAATTGATCTTGTGACCTAACAATTGAGATTACGAGCACGTGGTTTGTTTTCTCCTTTTTGTTTTACCCTTTTAAGTGCGGATCACTCTACGGCGGCGAGGCTGCCGTACATTTTCGTGAGGTGTCATCGTCACTCAGCCTAACACTCCATGTGTAGAATATTGAACATGCGCTCGCGCCAAGGACAAATCTTCCTTTTTTTGTTTTACAAGTGCCTTGGTGATGATAACTTTTATACATCAGCAAACAGAAACAACAATTGCTCTTCGCTGAACGCAGGCAAAACTATGCATAATACAAGAAAAGAAAAAACAAAGCATAAAACAGTAAGGAAAAAACGGCAAAAAATAGAAAAAAAGCAAATATGAGAAACGCCTAGAACAAGAGTAGAAATTAAAACAAAAAATGACGAGAAACAAAAACGTCTGCCAAGCTGCGCCTTCCATCAGGTTTCTCATCAATAGCGCAAAGCTCTCTTTCTTTATTTTTAACTTTTCCTTTCTTTCTTACCCTCTTTTTCTCTTTCTCTCTCTTTGACCTCTTTCTTTCTCTCTTTTTTTTACTATTGCAGATGCAGTGCACATGAACGAATGAAACACCCACCTATAAACGGATATTCAAGTTTGCCTACATCTCTCGGTTTTTTTACCGGGAAATCTGGCAGTCATTGTGAAACTGCGTCCAAACGAGTGACCCAAACAAGTTGCCGCTCGCGCCTAGCGCCAGTTTGCAAAAACGCTTTGGTGTGATTACCCAGTCGAGCAGTCATTTAGCCTATTTGGCGCATTACTTGAAGTTGTGAATGGAAGTGTATTAAGTGTTGTAATACTCCTTCACATTTACTCTATTGAGACGGCTGCTTGAAGATACATTCATTTAGGTACATAGTCCATTTACATAGCAAAATATTTTAAGCAAGTATTGAAGAGCCACATGTTACCAGGTGAGTCATGTCTTCTACTATAGTGTTTCTGAATCTTCATGGCTTCACTTTTGTGAACAACAAGGTGATTTTGACATTCGTTGGCAATTTCAGTTCATGCGTACAGAAACTGGCAGCAGACGAAGCAATGTCATCAGAAATGAAGCTTGTGAATAGACTATACCTTACTAGCTTCTTAATGATGTTAGTGCCAGCATTCTGTGAACAAAGCACGACGCCAATAAGTGCCTGGACGAGATTAGAAACCTCTGAGGATGTGGAAACAACCATGCAAACCTCATCCACAAAGTTTCAACAAACGGATTCTGAAGAAACAGTTTACAAAATGCATCTACAGATGTCTACCATGCGACCAATAATTTTAAGCGTACGCAACCCCATGATACAAGCTTCGGTGGAAAGTGCTGAAGAAAAAGTAGTCGAAGAATCAGGGCTCACTAGAGTTATGAAGACGACATCGGCTTCTACAAAATCAGGGACCTCAGAATGGTCGGAAGAACAGCCAGCAGAAGCAGAAGTAACAACTTATTCTAGAAGACACTCTCCCACCCACAATTTCCCTAACATCATCCCAACAGAGTTCAATGGAACACTCAACACATTACTGCTAACGACACCAGCGACACAGCAGGCACCTAAAAGATCAAAGTTTCTCAGTGACATCCAGATCATGCTCAAGCAGTTCATGTCTACCGGGCGCAGTGAATTGACGCGAAAACTACTGCAAGCCGACATATCTACTGATTGCACTTTTGGCTTGCTGCAGTTTACGCGAGCCATCCAGGATCTAGAGCCCTGGGCTTTGAGACGTGAGTACACTGCACCTGTCTAACAATGCATGTTAGAAATAGCTTTTCGAATTACTTTCTTCGAAAACGAACGCACACGAACGTAAGTTAACTATTCGGATAGGCTTTTCCTCGTAAATGCTCTTACTGAACAACCATTTCGCTGGACACTACCATCAACACTTTGTTCGGCACCGGTTATTGCATAACATTGTAGTGCAAGAACTGTTTCGTCCAAAAATGCTGTTTACCAAGTCGTATTGAAGTTTCACCTAAAACGATCCCCGAAGCAAACGTATAGTTATATTAGATTTACTATTTCTTGTAATCTCTGGACCACATGATGGGGGTGTTATTAGTGTTCAAACACATTTTTTTATAATCCAGCTATTTTGAACTCTTTGAAGTAAAAAAAAAGAACTGTGTTGTTTCAATAAATAATTTTGTTTGCAGCATAAATCGCTGTTGTTTATTATTGTTTCCAGAAAATTATTTGTGCAGTAAAGGCAAATGTTAGCAAGGGGACGAGTTCAGAATTCAAAATGTAGAAATTCGCTTACCAAAGAAAACAGTTCTAGAAGCACGCTGAAGGTATTTTCAAGTGTCTCCGTAGTACTAAACTTTTTATGTAATGATCTTTTTAAAGTAGTTGCTCATATTTAATATCAATTTGACTGAAGACTACAATCACAATCTCAAGCCATACTCGAGCAATTACTCTGAACATTGATTCTAATAAGGGCGTGGTTGCTAATGCTGGCTCATGTGCAAACTTGGGGTTGCTAACGCTGGCTCATGTGCAAACTTGACAGTTGCCCCGCCGTGGTGGTCTAGTGGCTAAGGTACTCGGCTGCTGACCCGCAGGTCGCGGAATCGAATCGCGGCTGCAGCGGCTGCATTTTAGATGGAGGCGGAAATGTTGTAGGCCCGTGTGCTCTGATTTGAGCGCACGCTAAAGAACCCCAGGTGGTCAAAATTTCCGGAGCCCTCCACTACGGCGTCTCATAAACATATGGTGGTTTTGGGAAGTTGAACTCTACATGTCAATCAATCAAACTTGACAGTCATCAACGGGCGGCTGGTATGCCCTTTTATGGGCTGTGCTCTCAACACGAAAAGACTCTTCGGACTTAGAATCTCTCCCAGAGTATCCATATTCTATTACATCAGTCTGTTTTTTTTGCGTTGCACTAAATCGGATTCGGCATCTAAAAGCGCCAAATGAGAAAGGCGTTAAGCTAAACATTCATCTCAAAAAGCGTCTTCTAAAAAATACGAGCATTTCTTTGCGTACTTCAAGCACTTTTGGTGTCTGTCTGTCTGTCAGTCTATCTATCTATCTATCTATCTATCTATCTATCTATCTATCTATCTATCTATCTATCTATCTATCTATCTATCTATCTATCTATCTATCTATCTATCTATCTATCTATCTATCTATCTATCTATCTATCTATCTATCTATCTATCTATCTATCTATCTATCTATCTATATCTCTATCTCGCTGGTCATGTCTGGGTGCTCTTGTGATCGCCCCCTACCCTTGGGGTGAACAAAAATTGTTATGGAAGGGAAGATGGTGTGACGAATACGGTGCGCTGGTCCAATCATGAATAATGTCACAATCCCGTCGTGTACCGTACGTCGTCAAAGCCTTCCCTCCAAAGTGTTGCACAAGTGTGCGGGTATGTGCTACAGGTGATTGACACATAATCGATCTCCTGTAGGAAAGAAGAGAACGCACAGGGGCAACTTTAACGCGTAAGCGTTAGGTAGAAACTGATATCAGCAGCATTGACTCTACGAATGCAAAGAATAAACGTTAAGGCCCTAGTAGGAATCGACCCCAAAAATTGTGCATGGTAATCAAGCATTCTACCGCAGAGCCACGGCAAGTCTCGAAACTGCTTTTCAAATAGACCTTAATGTTCGTGAAACGCCAATTGTGGTTGCAGTGCTGGCAATACAATTTTATATACAATACATAAGTACTCCTCTGATACAGCCGTCACGTCGGGTTTACGTCAATTTTAGTTAAATGCCATCTGCTTAAGCTGATTGATGTAGCACCGTCCAGGGATACAATCCACGCGAGCCCCAACGCTTCATAATATAAGCTTATTGCTTCTGGTGTTGCTAACACTCTTGTTCCTGTTGGCACCGTTACGTATGTGCAAATAAATGGTTATATAAACATCCGCAACTCTTCAACATATGTAGGTGCTTGCAGCAGCCATACATGTATTTAGTGTCATTTCATGGCGTGTGGCTCATTAAAAAATTACAAAACGATCACCCTCCCTCCGGATGTTTTGCATAACGTCGATTCCCAAGGTACGTGGGATCTGCCTATTTTTTTCATTGAACAATCTTTTACTATTCATCGTTCTGAAAGTCTTATAAGCGTGCCATTTCTGCGGGAGGTTCAAATCATTTACAACATTCTCTTTTGTCAATGCGGATCATCCTTTCCAAAAATCCATCCACCAGGAACCACGTTTTGCAATGAATTTTAAGAGAATGTGGTTAGTAGAGCGAAGTTGCGCAAAATTCGGAACATCAATTCAATGTGATCACTGGCAGAACGAAAAGCTCGAGCATTGTCGGAATAAACAACTCTAGGCAAGCCACGTCGCAACCCAAACCAACGGAGAGCCATTAAAATTATCCCACCTAGATATTACTGCGAATCTGTGAGTCAATTGCCCGAATGACGGCAGACGTAAAAATATTAAAATGTAGGAAAAAAGAAATGGTTCTTTAGTAGAAACAGGACCGGCAAATTAACACCCAAAACTTGAAAAGAGTGCAATCTCTTCACCCTGTCTGTTGGTAGCCGTGCGCTAGAGACTGAGGCAGGTTGGAGCTTGAATCTTGAACACATTTTGAATCTAGAGATCACCTTTTTTTTCACACTGGCGGCTATTATTCACACAAAAACACCCGCGCAGCCGAAAAAGGGTATCGCTTATACCACTCTGGAGCAGGGTCCATTTTGTGTTGCCGACGATGAAGGATGTGCAATGGGGGTCATTTTTATTTATTTAGGCATCCTGCCGCCTGGTTCTTGGTCCATCGCCCCTTTTGTTGGTGAGCATCATTCATATGAGGTCAGCATCATCATCAGCAGCAGCTGGCAGTAGTAACGAACACTTCACTACGTCTGACGCTGTCAAGCCTTGTATTGATTCTCAAAATTCCACTATAGCGTAGGAATGCATACAGACCACGAATGCGGGACGCCTTGGACAACAATTTGTCCTTTAACAATGAGGTGAATTAGAAGTTGCTCAGGGCGAGAAGCGATGCCCTAAACCTTTTCAACATGACCGTTATTATTGTATTGCCTGATAGCCTTATCATATATATAAGCTCACATGATTTCGTCGTTTCATGGAAATCGCCGAACAATTCTGTGAAGCTTGTTTTTACGCGCCTTAGGGGAAAAGTTTTAAGGCCCTATTACGGCCGCTAATCACAATCATTGTCCACATCTCTTGTGCCATGAACTGGCACTCTTTGGCCATCAAACGGCCCTTGCGCCAGAGAGCACGAAACATCATCAGTTCTGTGAAGTTTTGAAAGGGCTACTTCGAGATTGTCGGCCTTGTCGACAAGAGTCAACTTCCAGGGTAACGCAACTTCATTGCGTTTTTTTCGAAGAACACACTGTTGAATTCTTCTGAACAATCAGCGGCGCGCTGAGACGCTGGCGTGTCAGCAATTTCGATGTCATCAAAGTGCTGAAATCTCTGTAGGGAAAATTGACACTCACTTTCGTGGCAAGCGATTTCGAAAAACACGTACTTAAGTGCTTGTTTTTTTTTTACTTGTGCTCCAACGCCAATTAGGCGGTCTTGGGAAGTCCAGCGCATCTTTTTCTTAGCAGTCAGTAAGGCAGGCTTTATTTAGTCCCCCTTGATGCCACTTTTTTTTGGCATCAACTTTCAAAGCTGGTCTGATACAATACGACACTCATGCCTAGGTCACAATTAACGCTCATGTAAATGACTGCGCCCGCCAGATGTTTCCCCTCCACTCTGAAGGCCTGAAAAAGATGACTCTGGCATGGTGCTTCAATCATCTCTTCACAAGTTAAGGACACAACTATGGCTTTACCGCCGATGGTCAGGCTGTTATGCCAACTGCATAGCATGAACTTGACTAATTTGAATTGCCGTGTCAGATAGCTGCCTCTACCGAACGCGCTCATGGCGATTTTGGTCTCGGTAACAGCAGGTCGTCTTCGCTTGGAAGCAATGCTCTAAGTAACGAACGTTCGCTTGATTCACAACTCCGATGGCTTGATCAATTGAGGGGGAGGGGAGTCACCTAATATACCTTTCACCATACGATTGAGAGAGACGCCAGGGTCGAAGGCTCCGAAAATTTCGACCACCTGAGGTTCTTTAGCGTGCACCAAATCTGAGCACATGGGCCTACAGCATTTTCGCCTTCATCGCAAATGCGGCCGCCGCAGCTGGGGGAATATCCCGCGACCTGCGCGTTTGCAGTTGAGTACTTTGGCCTCCAGACCACCGCGTCCGTCGGGGCTCAACTATCTGAGTAATATTCTTTCTTCAAATGTTCGTGGTGTGGAGTTTTGCGAAATTACATTCCTAGGAATGCCATGTTTGCTTATTCATACCACCTGGATGCTGTAGACGTGCAAAAAATAGGCATGTGCAGGGTGCCCCATGAAAGGGGTCAAAGGTCTACCGCAGAGCCCTCCTCGCCCTAGCAATTTAACATATGCGGTACATTTCTCCATCTTCCTACCACCTATAAGTGGACACGCGTTCCTAAAAAGTAGGCTCGCCTATTATTGTAATGCATTCGGAGGATATTGTTGCAGCTACAGCAGGATACTTGTGGTTTGAATCTGTGTAGAAACTTCAAAAAAGTAGGAGAAAAAAGGTCAAGTGCTATGTTAAATTGCGTCACATTACCTTGTTAAGCAATGCAACAACTTTTCCTGAATAACAGTCTGTAAAATAACCAATAAAAATGTATGTAATGATTTATTCTGTTGCTGCCTATACTTCACTATGCGGTGCCAAAATTCTGCCATTTATAAAAAAATGCTATATGAAAATATCTGCACCTATTCTTCACCTACTCGGTTAATATTTGAAACACAATACATTTACTCGAAGCTGACAGCCAAATACACTACTTACAAATTCATCTACACGTTAAAAAGAGCAGTAAAAAGGTTGGCCGAATTTGTACATACTCAATTAGCAGGTAGCATAACTCTTCTGAAACATTATCAGGATCATCCTGGCTGTCTGCGTGAATTGTATAGTTTATCTAAAACCTTTTCACAGTTCCGCTGCTATAGATGGCAGCGGTGTCGCCAAATGACCTTTCAGCCTCCCTATCTTTAGGATGTCACAAGAATGAAAGACGTCACTCAAATAACCTAAATCACCAACGGGTTCACGCACATCACAGATGACTTTTCCGGCTTGGCTGTGAAGGAACTCTTGTTTATGATTGTTTGAACAGATCACGTTTGTTTTCCTTGAGAGCACTCAAAAGAAAAAAAAAGAAATTATGATTCCCTTTTATAACACTTGGGAACTTCCAGCAGGCATCTGCGTATCCAGCCTGTCCTACCATACGCTCCATGTTCATGGCGAGAGACTGTTACATTTATAGTTATAGGTATTCGCTGTTTTATCACTTTCATCCAAAGGGCTTGTGAGATTATTGAAAACCAATATGCACCATCTGTCTTCCTAAATTATTTGGCATACACCCTTCTTTCTGTGAATAGATGGAGGAATTTTATTTTGGTCCAATAGGTCGTGCAAGTGTCTTAGCTCGAAGCGGGCCGCTCCCACGTTGGGACCGAAAGACCAAGCCTTTCAGACGCTTCGCCTGCCCATTAGCCTGTCCATAATTGTCCCTCTAATGTAGTACTGCGTAGAGCAGCGTCGCGTTGTTCTCCAGTATTTTCCTTGTCGATGCGTAACGTGGAGCAAGGTCAAATCATATGCGCAAGATCTAAGGGGTCGTGGCATTTATGGCATGTTGTAGGAACACAGAACTCCGGATAAATTGTGTTAGGCAACAGCAGGTTCAGATTGGTGTTTACTTGTAATCGTCTAAGTGTAATGACCTGAGTTCTGTTTAGCTTACTGTGTGGAGGGCAGAAGACTCTGCGTCCTAGATAGAAATGTTCCGCTGGCTCGTTGTACGAAAAGAGGTCATCTTTCCATTCTGAAACCTCAGCATTTTCTTGCTTTGCGGCTGCATGGTTACCACGTACTCGTGCAGCATTGTGGGCAGATTCGTTGAGTTCGTGGGAGTACCGTTCATTTCTCCCATTTGAGCAGGAAACCAAATAATCATATGAGGCTTTATTACTTTTCTCTTGAGCATTGCCAGAACCTGTCTAAAAATTACTCCTGTGGCAAATATTTGCATGGCTGCCGTAGTATCACTGTGGATCCTCCATCTATTTGGTTCCAAAAGTGCCAATGTAATGGCTACTTGCTGGGCGATTTCTGGCTCTATGGTGTAGGTGAAAGCCGAGTTGACAAGTTGACCTTTATCGTTCACAAGTACTCTTGTGAAAGCTCAATTATTGAATGCGATAACCACGTCGACAAACGAGCATTTCTCGTCCTCAGTTTTAGCCTTTTACAGCATAGCTTTGGCCCTGACTTGCCTGCTACAATTTATTATATCCTTCACGGTGGTCTAGTAGAGTTATTACGGTTGACTGCTGGCCCGCAGGTTACGGGGTCGTATCTCGTCTGCGGCGGGAGTGTTTTCAATGCAGATGAAAATGCTTCAAGCCCAGTCACTTCATTTAGGGTGAATGTTAAACATTCTCAGCTGGTCGAAATTTTCGGATGCCTCCAATACTGTGCCTCTGATATACATATTGTGGTTTTTTTGACGGTAAGCTTCAAATATTAACATTATAATATGTGCTTACTTACCTTAAAAGACGACCTAAAGTTTGGGAACACTTTGAATAATGTGTATTTTTATTTTTATGGGTAGTAATTGACGCTTCGGCCAAGTACCCAACCGGTGTGCTTCAGGGTACGTTGTCTGATATGGGAGCTTACGACGAGTGCATCGAGACCGTGGTGCAAAACAAGTACGGCGCCACAAAAGTGCGCGGCCAGTACTGTGACTTGCACCTGTCACTGGGCGATGATGACGCTTTCCTTGAAAACTTGCTACCGGCCCTCTCATATTCGCACAAAAAGGTGAGTGTGCAAAAGCCACTTTTTCATTATTGCCTCTCTCGATCCCTTTTTAAATTATTTCCCGCTGCCACCAAAGATCGCTTTGAAAAGTTAGTCGATTCCCATCGGTGGCGTCAAGCCTTGTTAGCAGCATTCTGCTACTTATCTGGCGTCATGTCTGATAATTAGCAGCGTTTTTAACGCAAAGGGCCGTAAGTACTTGCAAGCGTTGAACACAGATGTCACCCGTGCGTCCATGACTACTGAAGAAGCACACTTTGAGCAAGGCTTTTATGGCATCCAAGACTTATGATTTGCATTATGAGGATTAGAAATAAGAAGGAAGTGTCCGTGAGAGATCCTTTGCGTCATGCGTGCACGAAAGCAGTGTTTTTACAAAGTATGCGAAATGTCGAACTGCGCTCCGTCACTTATATCAGGCGATCACTAAAAAATTACGAGCCTCTGATGTAGCTGTTGCTCGTTGCGATGGGCTAGCAGGTGTTTGTCTAATCCATGCGCCTCGTTTAGATTGACAATATGTACTTAAAATGATCTTTGAGATAATGCCTGTCACGAGCGTGTGAGAAGCTGCATTGCACACATTAGAGCTGTTACTTTCATTTCGCCCCTCTACATGAACTAGCGGATGAAAATGTGGCAGAATTGATCTGACGAGTTGGAACCAAGTGGACACTTATGTTTTTGTGTGTGATGCACAGATTGATATGCGTGATGATGCACGATAATGGTACAAGGAAGAGGGACAGGTGGTAAATATCTCTTTTGTTTTTCGGATGTTCATTGCTGAAAAATTATCAGCTGACTTATGGCTTGGTTACGAGTAATATACCATTTGTCCAATTTGTCCATTTGTCCAGTTAGTACCAATAGTACTAACTGTCTACCACCCCCCCCCCCCCTCCAACACCACACAAGTTTGTGTGGATTCACTTTAAACGAGTGTTGTTTCTGTATGGTTGATTCCACTCATATATGCTCTCAAAATCAGCAGAAGACAATCACTATGTCCGAACCTGAAAACTTTTGAGGGCATTCAAACGTGAAAATATGCATGTTACCATTATATTACAAACTTAATATTCATAGATGTTACCACGTATACAGTGATAGGGCAAGAACAAACCAGAAGCTCTAATAAGGCGCTAGGTTATAACCATGAATGAGCGAAAACTTAGGACTGCCTCAGACATAATGAAGAGTGTACGACTGCTTATTCGATGAAACTTGAATTTTGGCCATACAATTTTGGGTAGTACCAAAAACACCTTCCGGTGTTCATCCATGCTCTACACAACACCAACACTTGAAGCATCTGAAATACACACGCAATATACTATCAAGTGGAATGTAATCGACGAGATACTTATCTATTTTATATCATTACGCTTCCACGGATACATTAGTTAGTTCTTTATCATTGTTTAATTGTCATGGTTTTTGCAAATTTTAAGTTAGCATAGAAACTATCTGTCCAACATTCATAGTTTTATCTTTAGCAAATGAAGCACTACAGATAAATTCTCTGATATCGCACTTGTAACTTCCAGTTTTATACACCTAAATACTTTAGTTAGTACCTAATTACAGTTCCATTGTTGTGGCCGATGCAAATTAAAACTTCTTTGCAAACTTTTTGTTGAACGTTGACAGTTTCACCTTGCACACGCAGACAAGAAGGGTGTTATGTAGAAGGCAACAATGAGTCTTTTGTTTGTTCATCTCTCTCTGTTTAACTAGTCTTTTTAGTAAAGAAGAGAGCACGGACACCAAGTTGGCTAATACATCACTCGCCTTAATACCTCTCTAAAAGTAAAGCCTCCTGGATTTCTAGTGTGCTTTACTAGCAAGCAAAGTTTTCTTGAAGCCTTCTCATAGCATATCCCACGGTCATTGCGCAGTAGATTATGGAGCAGAGATTATTTTAAAACATCACCGCAGATATGATGCGCCATCAACGACTTTACGTGCCGTGTTCAGAAATACGCAATCCACTCTTATGCAATCTTACGCAATACACCCTTATAGATGTTTTACTAAGCGTTCGTATACAGCTTCTCCTCAGAGCAATTAAGAATACATTGTGCACGATCTATAAACTAATAACAATTACAAATTGATTAGAAACAACACTCTTTCTTTCAAGGCATTAGTATAAAGTAGACGTAGCTCACACAATAGCGCAAAAATATAGCGCAAAAAATGACGGCTAAATGCGCCACCAGCATGCCACAAAACACGTCTTGATATCATCATCATCACGACAACTATATGTTACGTTTACAGTGACGGCTCAATTTGCCTGCACTGTTTACAATAGATGTAGGTTCATTAAAAGTGAATTTCGGCTACTTGCTGTTGCCTGACAGGTAACGCGATCAATGACACAAAGTGAACTAGCGCGCATGACAGCCGCAAAACGAACATTACAGCGTCGAGAAGCGACAATGATCACCACAGACGTGCACACAAGGAAGGAGGGGAGAGTTGCCCACACTTCCACTCCCCTCTCGTATTCACGTGTGCTTTCTATAAATACAACCCAGCGCTTTGGGCACTTGAGACCACAATGTTCCAGGCTTCAACCCTGCCTCGCCAAGGAGATTAATTTTGTTTTATTTATTTCTCAATTTGCTTATACCTCTCCGGAGGGAAGCACGAGAGTTTTAGGTAATGCCATGGAAACGAACGCCAACGACAACAATAGAGGGCCCAAGGAGACTACTTCGCTGTGAAATAGAAAGTTTCTTTGAAAGTAGCGAGTCGTAATGCATGCTCAAACTTTTCCAAGGATGTTTCGTTCTGCGCGTCAGATCTCATGTACAAAATTTTTGCAGAAAGTCACAATATGTGCTGTGGTGTGCGAATGCCGTGAAAAATATGCCATATTTTTCATTCTGGAGTAAATAATGACGTAGTTACCTTGTCTAAGGCTCCGATGTTTAAACATAAAAAATTTACGAAGCCTTTCAGAAGAAGAAAAGTCACAAGAAAACGAGAGTCAGCGAGGTTAACAAGGTGCATGCTTGTTTGTCTACACTACACTAGAGAAATCGGAAAAGAAAGTTGAATATTGAGGGCGACAGAGAAAAAACGAACGAAACGATCAAAAGACGCCATGATTCGTTAAGTATCCTTTTTGTAAGGTGGCTGAGCACGTAAAGCTTTAGTGAGTCGGCAAAACAGTGGAAAGTTTCCTTCACATTGTGCAGTAATTTGTTTGTCTTTATTCACACGACTTTAAACAGCACGTTGGCGTGAACCAAGCCGTGGGCAGTGGTAACCGAGGTGCAACTTACAATGAAGCAGCTTCAAATGGGGAGAGAGAGAAAAAACTTTTATTCATACAGGCAGAAAAGATAATCCGAAATAGGTGGAGCCTATAGTTCAGGTCCCGTTGGCTTGCGCCACACTCCACGTACCTGCTGGATCAGCTGACACTGCATTAGAAATGTACAATCTGGGCACTGAAAATTTACGCGGTATGTACAGTCTGTTTGCACTTAGAGGGGAATCTCGTAGAGTGTGGCGTAGCGATACGTTAATGATGCGACCAGCGCTGCTGTTGCGCGCCGACAGCATCTCGCGCGTGTGCAGACGCAAGAGAGGCGTAGTGCTGAATGCTTGAACCACGTCGTTGGCTACGGTGGGGCGCAGTGGCAGTATTGTCGGGTAGAGTTTATTACAAAATATATCGGCCTAGTTCTCGCCGCAAAGATGAAGTTAGCGCGCTGTTTGTTTATTGCGCCCTACCCGCATAGCGGCACGGCCACCTCCGTAGAGTGCTTCGTTGATATATATATATATATATATATATATATATATATATATATATATATATATATATATATATATATATATATATATATATATATAGATATATATATATATATATATATATATATATATAATTGGATATGTGGAGTTTAACGTACCAAAATCCCCATATGATTATGAGAGATGCCGTAGTACAGGCCTCTGGACGTTTCGACCACCTGGTGTTCTTTACTGCGCACCCAAATCTGAGCACACGAGCCTAAAGCATTCTTGCCTCGATCTAATATTCAGCCGCCGCAGCCGAGATTCGATCCCACGACCTGTGGTTCAGAAGCCGAGTACCTCAGCCACTTGACCACAGTGGGCGGGACACTTTGGGTGAAGTAAATACCACGCACGGTACTTGCTCACTATGGCCGTCTCCTTAGCAGTGTACTTGTGGTGCCCACACAAAGAAGTGTACGTGAACGCTTTCAGTACCACGGCTTTATGAAAGAGAAAGCAGCGTATCGTGTCCAGTACTGTTTATAGAACCCCATTATCGCCAATGAAGACTGATAGGTTGGCATCGCAAAACAGTCACTACAAAATATCGGTATACTTACCGCAGAAACAATAATATCAGCATGCTGTCCGGCAATATGGGCAGAGCTCCCCGCTGTCTAATACGATGCGGTTTGCCTCAGTGCTCCTCAAGTGCCTGCGCATGCGCGAGCTGCTGCCGGCATGCGACTGCAGCGCTGACCGCACCACGATGTCATGCGCTTCGGAATTTTTTCAAGTAAAAAACATACTGTACATTTGCTTCAGATATCGCATACCTGTGCTGAGTAATATATTTTATGCGAATATCTTATCTAGATAAACAATGCAGGTCGTGACAATGATTAAGTACATCCTCTTGGAAGCACAATGAAAGATTAAAAGTATGTTATGCACTTGCTGCTTTGATTGTTCTCAAGTTTCAACATTTCCCACTTTTGGACGAAGACGAACTGTTTGCTTCTACTAAGTGGTTCTAAGAGAGAAAGGAAGAGAAAAGTGAGCCCCGTAACTGCCTGCTTCAGCGAGCGACACCTCAACAGTAGGTCACTAGGGATGGGGGTGACCAGGGATTAAAAGAATAGGAAGAAAGGTGTAGAGAGAGCGAAAGAGGCGTGAGGTGGTAAGCCAGAGAGCGACGACATATCAAGGGGATATGAGAGATAGGAAAGATGGAAACA